AATACAATGGAAAAAAGTTTGTACAACATTCTTACCTAGGGCACACCAACACGAAGAGCTGCCACCTTGGCTCTATCCTGCTTTGCAGGTGAAAACAACCAGCCTGGTGTGGTATAGTTCAGCCCATGTAAAACAGGTAGATGAAAGCTCAAGAAACATTACTGGATGTCTGACACCAAACCCCATTGATAAAACAACGTAAAACAGGTAGATCTAGCACTCAATGAAAGCTCAAGAATCGTTACTGGAGGTCTGACACCAAACCCCATTGATAAAACAAATTACTCAGCAGCCACTGCACCCAGTGACGTACGGAGAGAGGTGGCAGCTAATGGGGAAAGGCTCAAAGCATCAAACGAACATCAATGTTTTGGCTACCACCCTGCCCCTCCCAGATTAAAATCAAAGGAGGGTTTTTCAGATCATCCATGAAACTTGAAGGAACAGCTGAGAATATCAGAACTATAATGTGGAAAGAAAGAACTGCCCAGGGAGAGCTCAGGAAATCTAGCCCCCGGCCATACAGAGAACTGTATAACTTGGAAGTCACTTAATAGATTATAGAGTTGGCAAAACTGAAGTGAACTGAAGAAAATGGGGGGGGGGTGTTTCTGAATTAGCAGTCCTTTTTAAATATGAAGAATACTTTAACAAGCTACTTCACACCTGTGTTAGCTTACTCTGTCTTTCAACATGTGCCATGGAAGACTTGATGGTAGAGATGGGTATGAACCTCAGTTCGGAGGTTCATGCTGGTTCACATGCACGGCACCACAGACGCCATGTGTTCCCTCCTCCCGCTTGCTAGGCCGGATCCCCCACTCACCAGCCAGCATGCGCGGCTCTCCTCCTGCTCTTCAGCTGTTCCAACAGTCCCTGGCAGGAGCACGGGCTTTCCCACCTCCTTGACTGATCACCCATTCAACAAGAAGCTAGACAGATGAACCCATCCTCCTGCCAGGGACTGGCTGAACAGCCAAAGAGGAGGAGAGGAACACACATCAGTCATTGAGCAGGGAAGGGAACACTTTTGGTGCTGTGCGCTTTGACAAGAAGAGGAAAAAGCCCCCGTGCCATCTAAATATTTACTTAACAGGACCATTCCTATTCTCCCCATACTCTTTCCTCGATATATTAATTCAGTTCTTTAATTTTATTCAACAGTATGTGAGAGTATAACACTCAGTTTAACAAAATGAAATGGAATAAAGGATTCACTATTTATTCAGTGCATAAATAAGTGCATGCAACTGCTGGTAAGCAACATTCATAGTGACCTGCCTGATAGTCTCGAGACTCGCACCACACACCTTGAGAACAATTCCAGGGCCCTGGGAAGGAAAAGGTTTCTAAAGATAACCCCACCCTCCACTTTGCGCAGTATAATTTTATTTTAGGGGTGAAACAAAATCCCCTTTTTAATCTATGGGACTGCGAGGGAGACCTTAACTGGCCTTAGAACTCCTTCCCTCTCCAAATCAGCCCTTTGCTTGTATGTATTTTGCATTTCAGATCAAGCAAAATAAACCACAGTGACTATCCTTATAAATGACTACAAGGAGATAAGAAACTGAAGATAGAAAAAAAGTTTCCTCTTCTTTTGCCTGTTCCCTTTTAAAAACTACAGGAATTCTACATACAGATGATATATTCATCATATCTTTATGAATGGCAGCCAAACCAGCTGCCACTTTAACTATTTCTGGAGAAAGAAATCAGCTGGTCGGGTTGCAGCTGCTATGCACCCAACGGGGGGTCTCACCGCCATTAGGGAAACACGAAACACAATGAACAGAAACACACGGGAAGCACTGCTCTGATTAGCAGTCATTTTCTAACTGTGTTCTAAATCAAATCGAGCCCAAATTCCCATTAGAAGGCAGAATGACTAAGCTGGGGATATCATTATACATAAGAAAGTAAGACTCTCTGGCAAAGCCAATCATGTTTGGAAAAGTCCAAAAAAGTGGTGATGTTCCTCTGTCTCAGGATGGTGACAAAAAATAAAGCAAAGGACAAAATGTGGTGGTACTTTAAAGACTTAACAGTTTCAGTGGGAGCTTTTGTGAATCAATATCTGAAGTCCAGCACTATCTTCACCTCTTTAAAAATATTATAGTGTTTTAACTGGGCCTTTGATTTAGTATAGTGAACTTTCCTGGAAATTTATTTGAAGAGTGGCATAATAAGTTCTATAATGGATAAAGCATGTGTCAGATTGTCCACCAGGTGGCAAAATCTGTGGCTGTCGCTGATGAAAGATACCCAGCTTTTGAAAAAGGAATACGGTACTCTGTAATGAGTACTACATACTGTACTTCTAAGGAATGAAACAAAAAGGTGGCTTTGAAGGCATTTCTGAATGGTCCGCTGTGGCAGGTACAGGAGGTTTTTCAAACGCTGACCAGAACTTTAACGCAACAGCCAAAGAGACATAAACAGTTGCAGGTGACAAATACTGGTCTATAGAATCACTGGACAGCTCAGTAGGTTTAGGTCTCTGGCTGGGAAACCAGAGTTTGGGAGTTCAATTCCCCACTGTGCCTCCTTGACAGGGGCTGGACTTGATCTATAGTTCAAGCCCTGCAGTTCTAAGATGATGATGATTGGAGAGGGGTACTGAAGGATGCAAGGGTCTGCAGGAGAGCCAAGGACAAAAAGAAGCCATTTAGAGATGCACTGGTGGGATGAATCAGCGCTCTTTTTCTAGGCACCAATACAATTTATTACAAATTAATTTATTACAATGCTACCTGGTGTCACAACAGGAGGGGGTAGGGGAGGAAAAAAAAAGACATTATAGGAACACCTTTGAGGGTTGTCACCCTAGAATACATTTGCTGAAGCAGGAGAAAAACATGTAGCGATAGGTTCCTCATCAGGTAACAAATCACACAAGTACGTTAGGGGATTTTAAAGTAATGGACAGATTCCTACTGGTTCGTTATACAGTACAAAAGTACCAGCTCACGCGACTGACTGCTGATGAAGGATAGAAGCAGTGACTTGCTAACTAATGAAAATTTGACAATACAATTTGCATCACTGAACTCAACGCTGGCATAAGTAATCAAAGGGAGTCGGGCCACCGATTTAGAGCTATACCTTTTAAGTCTATAAGCGTTAAGTAGAGCTACTAACAACGGGACCCTTTGGAAGTCATTAATTGACAGACCTGCCATAGATCACAGGCTCTGTTTGTCTTTCCGGCGCTCACATGACAGAATCAAACCAGGAATAATCCATAAACCAGGTGGTCAAGCTGCAGCCATCCCAAGTAGAACCACCCCAGTCTCAGTTTGCAAGCAACCATATTTATAGCAATAGAAGCCTTATTAAAACCTTTACTGCCGATCCACTGCTGAAGGCCAAGCCATTTATCATCACCATCATCTTCGAACTGCAGAACTGGAAGGGACTCTATGGATCATCAAGTCGAGCCCCCGTCCAGGAGGAACTGAACTCCAAATCTCTAAGCATGTCCACAAGCCCAGTTCTTTATTTTTCTCTCTCTCCCACTTCACCCTAATTCATCATCCTCCCACTTCTGCTCCGCTGCAGCTTTTTTCTTGTGTGACACTTTAGATGGCAAACACTTTGGAGTGAAGACCCCACATCCTTTGCTACTTTGTGAAGCACAAATCATCAGACATATACAACATCAGACATATTCGTACAACTGAATGAAAAAGAGGCTCTCGAGACAAGTCTTTCCATTGTAAGCTGTATCATACAGGCTGAACATCTTATAAACAGAATATAGATCTGATTTACAACAAAATGGACAGGGTTTTCTTTAAACAATCATAACTGAATCCCTGGATGCTGTTTTTAGTTGGCATTTCTTAAATTTTAAAATGTTTTTAACCATTCAAAGTAATTTAATTGCTACTGTAGCTTAACTGCTTTTAACGTGTAATGTACTGTGTTTAAAAGTCTACCTTAACACTGTCTTGAGTGCCCTTATTATGAGACAGGCAGCCTAAAAATAAGAGAAATATATGTCTTATATTATATCTCTACATAAAATCTATTTCAGGCTAAGTACATATTTCAATAAATAATTCAAGAAGTAAATCTCCAATATATTCAGTCTGTATGAACACAGCAGCACTTAAAAACAGTTAAGTTTTGAAAGAGGAAGTAAAATGTAATAAAACAAAACTTTCTTCTTCTTTTAAACTTGAGATAAGGTAGGGGTCACTCACCAGGGAGAATGAGGTTGTAGTAAAAGAAATGAGAGGTGAATAGTTCTCAAAGGAGCTAAAACTTGTGAATTTTTTGGTCCTTCGTTAAAGACACCAAACGGCTGTTTATTCCTAACTTCTGTGTTTACCATTTTCATTATATATGCGCAAGTTCCCTCTTCTGAAAACACTTTTGTCTTCCAAAGTGCAAAGAGGTGAAAACTATGACATTAAATTAAATTACAAAGTGCAAAGAGGTGAAAATGATGGCATCAAATTAAAATTATCCAAGAACAGAGATTGCACTATTAGCCAGGAAATAAACAACAACAACCCCTCCCAAAAACCTGTAATTTAGGATAAAAAAAGAAAAAAGAAGTAGGATAATTTTATGAGACCAAGAGAGATTTTGCAAAAACCGTTCTCCTATCAACCAAAACTTTTAAAAAGCAGGCTGTAGAAGAAGTAGCCAGCCTTGGGAGTCTGTGCAAGCACGAGAGGAAAAAAATAAATTAAAAATAATACCTTTATCTTTTATTGAATTATTTATTGAATTTTTTTATTGATTGAATTCGTTGTTGAAACACTGAATATATATATAGAGAGAGATATATCCTGTATTATTTTAAAAATAAAAACCTCAACATGAGGAAAAACCATTAGGATTAGGAAACTAAGGTTAAAACAAAGCCTCAACATGAGGGGAGTAAGAAATTAAAGAGCCACGATGAGGGGGGGCATAAGGGGAAGGGAAGGAAAAGAGAAAAATCGTGTTTTTTTTTAAAAAAGGGGGGGTTTCCCTTGCTCGCTCACCTTCCACCTCTTTCTTCAGCCACAGCCCGTCCCCGCCGCCTAAAAACAGGAGTAAGAAATTAAGGGGCCACGATGGGGGCGGGAAGGGAAGGAAAAGAGAAAAATCGGTTTTTTTTAAAAAAAAGGGGGGGTTCCCTTGCTCGCTCACCTTCCACCTCCTTCTTCAGACACGGTCCGTCCCCGCCGCCTAAAAAACCTCATCCAGCCGCGCACCCTTCCTTTTATACCGCGGCGCCGGCTCCCCTCGGCCAGCCCCGCCCACCGGTGCCTCAGCCGCGGCCTCCTGATAGGCTAAGAGCGAGCCACAACCATCTCTCTCCCCCGCCGCGCCCCCCCAAAGGAGGGAAGGCAATGGACGCGTCCCGGCCCTCAAGAGCCTCGAGCGGCCGGCCCGCCGACTGCGGCTTCTCGCGGGGTTCCTATGGAAACCGCTCGGGCGGGGAGTGGGAGGGAGGGAAAGGCGGAGCTTTGTTGCTATAAAAGCAGACGCAGTGTGGCTTTGGCGCAGTGACGTCATCCCTAGTCACGGGGTGGGGGCGTGACGTCAGCGTCTCATTATTCTGACGTCGTAAACCTATATAT